AACATCTCATTCTATGCCTACTCTCATCTCCAGAGGCCGAAGGTCTAAATAGGAGAGCTAACGTTGGTACCGTATTTGACCGCATCCTCCTTAAATGTTGGAACCATTTTCTGTAATTTTTTAAAAACTTTATGTAGCTCACGATCAATATTGAACTTTGTACTTATGCCCTCGTTTGAACTCTGTCTCGGTATAGATACGACAGAGTTTTTAAGAAATTCATTTGGGAACCCTCTAACCTTCTTTCGGCCTTAAATGGCAGCATTTTTATTTTGTATTTGGGTAAAACACCGTAATCAATAAAATAGTATCAAACACTAATACATATGCCGATAAAGCTATTTTAACTGTTAGGTTTCGCCTCCCGTGAGCGAATACTATGAGTCCCCTTTAGATAAAAGGATTCCTCTATCTTTTGAACTCTACATTACTATATTCTCACCATTCGTCTATTGTCCGAGATAAAGTTGTGTGTGCAAAGCAGTCTGTCGACAAAGAGCCGGCGAGAGACTGCATTTTCTGGAGGGGACTCACTTGTTCCTGGCGGCTGCGGGTCGTGGGCGCCAGGCAGACTCGACGCGGCAACGATCGGGCGCTTAGAACATGCCCCTATTAGGATGATGTCCCATCGAGTGAGATACCTGGAGGAGGAAAACGCCGCAAGCCGGCGTATAAGTAAGCGTCGGGCCGCGCGTACCAGAGGGGCAGGAGCACCGCATCTCGCATCTAAAATGCAACACGCACTTCCCTTACGCGAGTAATATCCTATGTCTCTCTGAAAGAGCTATGAAATTTGTCGTTTTCACCATTATAACAATCCTATGCATTTCTACAAAATGAGATGTTTTGCAGTGTAAGATTCTAAATTTCTTGTAATGCTTCCGGAATGAAAAATGGTTTACTCACACGAGAACTTCAACAAATCTGCAAGGTAAAACATTTTAATTATAATTGTAACTGTCAATTTGCTTACCAAATACTTATAACGCTTTATACATCATTTGCAACAAATCACATAACTCCAGAACATACAAAAGTGTAGTCGTCGCTTTGTTTTCCTTCCTGCCAGACGCGTGTTTGGACTCATTCCGAAGCAATGAGGGGGAGGGGGGCTGCGCTTGCAATACGGCGACGGCGAGCGAGAGCAACCGATGACCTCGTCCAGCGATAACGCCGCCGACCTCGCAGTGCTCATCGCTCCCAGTAAGTTATTGGGTTGGCCGCCGAGATCGGCAGTGTCGCCGTGGCGGAGAGGGCCCGCGCCGGCCGCTGCTCGGCCTCCCGCCCACACTCAGGGAACGCCGTGGTCGGCGGACGTGACGCGACGCGACGCAACGCAACGGCAACGGCACGCAACGCAACGCCACGCAACGCAACGCAACGTAACGCAAAGCAACGCAACGCCACGCAACGCCACGCAACGCAACGTCACGCAACGCCACGCAACGCCACGCAACGCAACGCAACGCAACGCCACGCAACGCAACGCCACGCAACGCCACGCAACGCCACGCAACGCCACGCCACGCCACGCAACGCAACACAACGCCACGCAACGGCACGCAACGCAACGCAACGCAACGGCACGCAACGCAACGCAACGCAACGCAACGCCACGCAACGCTACGCGATGCAAAGCAACGAGATGAGACGCGACGAGACGTGACGTGACGTGACGTGACGTAAGGCGACGCGATGCTACGCGACCACGTAATGCAACTCTTTGCGATACAACGCAACATACATGCTGGCATGATCTCGAAAGCAACATGCTGAACATATTTATCCAGAACTTACTTTCTTGGGAGAGAGTATTGTAATGTTCTAGGTAGAGTGCCAATTTTGTGACAAAACACATTTGTAGGTTGCTAATAAAAAAAAGTAGACTTTCCTTGATCCCATAGGAAGTTTATTACATTCTCGCTCATGTGATTTAGTCAATATCCCACGTTTTGGAGTGTCCTCAATACCGAAAAATGTGTTGTTTTTTAAAAAGTCGGTCCAGGTCTGTGTGATTCATTTTCGAAAAACGGACAAGAAAACGTCAGTCCGTCTGACTGTCCGTCCGTGATGAACGCTAGCGCCTGAACCAGAGATTCCATACGGGGTTGATGACATTTTGAAGAGTGTCAATGATGATCAAGGGGTCGATAACCCAATATGAACGTACGTTTTGATAGGTATAATCAAGATCCTATTGATTATAAAATTATTAAATGAACTTGATAATTGAAAGTCTGATCTAAGGCAACAAAATATATAATAAATTGCAAATTCGCTCTTCTTTCCTACCCGTCATTCATCCTTAGGATCAGGGGCGTCGCTATGAAGAAACGAATTAAGGGGCCCTTAATAAGGATCCCGTAAACGAATATCGACAAATAATAACACAAATCGCAAACCCATGCTTATTTTCTCAGTTGTACCAGCCATATTCTTACATCAGATACTTTAAAACTCGTAAAAACTCGCTTATTGCAGAGGAGTCCCGTTCTGACTTTCTGCACGGGAGCATCCAAGAACCTGACTACGCAACGGTCAAATGTTTAGAAAAATGTTTAGTAATGGAAAAAAATGTTTAGAAAACTCAACAAATTACAACTAGAATATATTCACAATGATACTTTATTGCGGGAGAAAATACTATCCACAATACGCACTGGAGAAATGTTATGATCCGTTAAGAACAATCACATTTTGTAACCATTACGCAATGACGAAGATTATAAACGTAACTACTCAAAAGCGGTAGAGTTTTCGATTATTGAGAAACTAGGTAATTACCAAAATATTGTTCCACAAAATTGTTATCTTTGTGTTATGAGTATTTGGAATCAGTTGTGTTATGATTATGTTCGCTGCTGATAAAGAATGACGTGGAACAAACAATTCTTTTAAGAGAGATCGATGAACGAAAAAGGTTGGGAATCCCTGGCCTATACCGTTCAGACGATTTTCGTCAAAACTGATATACTCCGATCGATCTGAATGAGTTTGCGGCCCTGCGAGTTTGAAACGGATAATTTCATTTTAGAGGATACTTAAGACAAAGCCTCAACTTTTTCAAAATTTTCTCACAAATGGCTCCAACTTTTTTGATTAAGTATTTTCTTTGGACTGCTAAAGTACGTTTAATAACAGAGGAGGTTTAATTTTCGTCGAAATCTCTGAACTTTCGAAAATTGATGTTGATCCTCTTTTCCGCAAACACTGTATTTTTTTAAATTGCAATTAATTAACATCGCAAAAGCACAATACTGATGATAATGATTTCTCTTATACCCAATCGGTTTTACAAAATTGCATCTTTAAATAAGGTAATGTTATTTTTTTTTAAGAAAACGCATAATTTTGCCTTTGTTCTGCTTGCAATTAATGCAATATTTATAAAAAATTTCTGTTACTCACAAACAGCTCTTGTTTTCCCCCCCTCGTATACAACAAAGGACAAAATTGCAAAAGTTAGAAATAATGCAATAGAGTTCGTGCTGTTGAGTCACTCCGAGTTTTGTGTTATACGTTATTAATATTACGAAAAAGTACGTGCTATTGAAACACCACTAATACTCAGTTCTCCACAAATCTGAATTTTTAAAAGGAAGATACACATAATACAGCAAAGACGTTTTATTCCTTGATCCTGTACGTTCGGGTGACGACGCATAAAGAGGTAGAACGGTATTTATGTCAATCTGTATTCAAAAAGGGCCAGTGATGCGTTTCCCTGCTGTCAATTTCCCGATATATTGGAGGCCTCTGAAGATAGATGAGCAAATCGCAACTTCCCCGCGCGGCGTCCCCGTGGGGCGAGCGGACGACGCCCCAACTTCACGAAGAAAGTTACGTATTCGGCTGCGCCAACAGCACGCAGCGGGTGCAGTCGCAAACAGCTTGCTGCCCGGATTGATCCTTTTGCCACATTGGCTTTTAGCGCTAAGGAAACCATGTAAGAACATATTTCAGTTAATAAATTACTTACGAAGTGGTTGTTTCCTCAATCTATAATTTCGGGATCTTCAAGTACATCTACGACACGGTAATCCATCAGTGTACGGTTAGGACCGACTGAAAGCAATAATTACTTAAAGTTTTATCCCACAAAACATAAGTTCAGGTAGATATTTTGTAACTCGATGTACGTATATTAATCATGAATAAGGCCTAAATTTGCTTTTTATTTCTTTCCAAATATTTGGTAATCAATTAATTTCTCTCTCTCTCTCTCTCTCTCGCTCTCTCTCGCTCTCTCTCTCGCTCTCTCTCGCTCTCTCTCGCTCTCTCTCTCGCGCTCTCTCTCTCGCTCTCTCTCTCGCGCTCTCTCTCTCGCGCTCTCTCTCTCTCTCTCACACACACACACACACACATACACACACACAAGAACGCGTGAGCTCGCACGCACAAACACAAGCACATATATTGCATCCCACTGTTATTGTACTATATCGCAAATGCATCGCATAATTTAGTTCTTCCCTACGTAA